TAAAACTTCACTTTGTTTCCATGCATATCAAAAGTTTGTGCATTGCAGAAACAGGAGCGTGGATTTGCATATGGATGAAAAGTTTTGATATCAGCATCGGCATGGTTTGAAGTTTCTGTTATTTTTCTGGGGCCTTGTTTTAAAAACACCAATAATTCATTATGCTACTTGAAATAATTGGATTCTATGTGGCATGTTTGCACATTTATTAAGCTAATCTATACAGTGCTTTAGAACCCACTTTCTTAATATGAAATTTAGTAACTAGCTGATTAATAGAAAATTAAAGGCATAGTTTACTTTGAAATACATTTTTGGTATGTTTTAGCTTACCTCAAAGGCATCCAAGATGTAGGTGTCTTTGTTTCCGCAGTAGTTTCAATTTTGATATTTTTAGGTCAGTCATATAATGGAGGTCTATGGTCACCACCTCACAGAGCATGCACAGAGAAGTCCAAATTAAACATGATTTAATGAGCGATTTTTGTGTGAGCATATCAGTGAACACCCCAGACTACTCTGCGAGTTTCACGTCTTTGTAAACTAAAGTTTTATGCGTTTTATGAAGGATTGTTCCTGTGCAGTGTTGGGTGTAACTACTGTAATTTAGTTACTTTTCCTTTGAAAATGTAAAGTAAGGGATTAGTCGTCATTTATCTGTAATTGAATTACAGTTACTTCTGATGTAATTGAGATAAATACTGTGTATAGATCAATCCGATCTCACAGCGATTCGTATATGCATTTTATGAGGTGTCTAAATCGTACGACCGCACTCGTACAAATTCGTATGAATTATTGTAAAATATGTATGAAAAAAGTGTGAAATGTCATGAGATCAGACATAAAACAGCAAAATGTATTGTCTGATGCTAAAAAGTATGTTTTTATGATGTAACCTTCTCCACCTTGGTCAGTTTAAGGATAATTCATGCAATTTTATAGTATTTATTTGAAAGAATTAAAACAGATTCATGTCCTTGTATTATTCAGCTGGTTGAGATTGATATGGGATTTTAAAAGTAATTAGTAATTACAAGTAATTAAATACATTTTATAGAGAGTAATTAGTACAGTAATCTAATTACACTGTTGAAGAGGTAATTAGTAACTAGGGATGCACCGATATGAACATTTTGGCCGATACCGATAACCGATAATTCTTAATATTTGAAAGCCGGTAACCGATATATCGGTCGATAAATTTAAATCCAAATTTTTGTATAATTTTGAGAGCCTGATTACAAAAACAAAAGTCTCACAATTAAACCATTTCCCAAGCGCACAATTATATAATGATGTTCTCATTATAGTGTTGTATATCCGATATGACAGATTTGCGCTGCACATGTTGTACCGAACTGTATTTTCATATTTTGAAGAGATTTCAATCATATTTCAAGAAATTCAAAAACATAAACAGTGTTCAACAAGTGTCTCAGCTGAAGGGAATAATACATTATTTACCGGCTTTAATATAACGGCCACATTTTCTTACCAGGCCGATAACGATAACATTAAAAATGAACATATATCGGCCGATACCGATATGCTCGCCGATATATCGTGCATCACTATTAGTAACTAGTAATTAATTACTTTTTTAGAGTAACTTACCCAACACTGTTCCTGTGCACCTATGCAACCATTGTGAAGGTGTGGGGGTGCAACCACAGAAACTGAAAATTCTCGGGACAGCAGCATCTGTCTAAAAAACAATCTTAACTATTATATTTCATCAGAAACGATCTTAAAACACACTGTTAGGCCTTACCAGGTTTTTTACAGTAAAATACTGGCAACACTGTTGCCAGTAATTTACTGTAAAAATGCACTAAAACTAATAAGTTGTATTTTTTAGTTAACTTGAGTTTTAGTGCATTTTTACATTAAATTACTGGCAACAGTGTTGCCAGTATTTTACTGTAAAAAACCTGGTAAGGTCTAACAGTGCAGGGCTTTAATTGTAAAATACCGAACTTGTCCTTTAAGCGCTGGCAGACGCGCAGCAGTTGTAGGGAGGTATATTGATTTTTCTTGTCTCTTTCTTCAGAATTTTCTTGTCTTTAATTATTCATTCATTTACCTCACTTAAGTCATCAGAACTTTTTTCGATTTTTCGACTCGATTGGGGAGCCAAAGAAGCCGTTTAGTTCACTTATGCCTCGGGCCGGCCCTGATATTCAAAAACTGAACACACTGTAAAAATGAATATGCTTTATCTAATCAATAAAATTGTGGCAACCGATTACAAGCAATATTATTTATTAAATTGAACAAATTAGAATTGAGTAATAGTTAATCAAATTAATATTCTAATTAATTCTAATTTGTACAATTTAATTAATAATATTGCTTGTAATATGTTGCCACAATTTTATTGATTAGATAAAGCATATTATTTTTTTTTTAGTGCAGATCGAAACTTTGAGAGCATTGTGACAACATGCTGCTCTTTTATTCTTATAGCCGACAAGAAAATTCCTATTAGGATTATTTTCCAATTATAATAGAGTGCCGAAGTGATGACGTCACTTTGTAGGACAACTCGGAAGCTAGCGACGCATGGGTTCCCTCGGTCGAAAAGCTCTGCATTTTCCGCATAGACTTTTGGAAAATCTCAAAAAAATAAGATCTGTGTTTGACCCTTACACGTTTTGTCTAGCAAGATAATCTTTACAAGTTAATCCCAAATGTATACATTTTGAAGCCTATATAAAGATTTAAAAAAAAACACAAGCAGACACAATAAAGCTGGTTATAACTGGTGTGTTTTATGTCATAGATCAAAACATGAAAATATTTCGAGGCGTTGTTCACCACAGACCTTATTTCAGGCGATTTAGCCAAAACCCATTCAAAAATCCCATTTAGAGAGGTAGTGCTAAAATGCTAACTCACTTCCGCGTTTTGGCCTACAGAGTGACGTCGTAACGTCGGCACTCTATTGATTCCAGTATAAATCTTTTAGCAATTTTTGACTAGCGATTATTTTCAATTCCCTAGTTTGTCACTTGACCCGTTAAACCGGCAACACCAGACAAAAGAGTGCGCAGACATTCTCCAGTCACATTTGTTTCTTATAAATCCTGACGTGTGTGCGAAGACTTTTTTGTGCGAACACAACATCTACACGAGACCTTTAGTCTTTAAGCCGATGCAGAGAGACTGACTGCGAGGTAAGAGGGATTTTTTGAAGAGGTTTAAAAGTGCTATTGTTACGGAAAGCACATAGGGTTCCCTGTCTGTCTGACATCGGCGTTCTCTGGGGGATTTCGTAGGCGAAGTGTGTGAGTGTGAGTGCCTTGACACGGGAACTAAGGTACCACTCGAAGAAGGTAATTCTCTCTGCAATAAATTGAGAGCGTATAAATATATATATAAGAGGAACAATGATCTCATTAGTCACATTTAGCATGAGGAGTTATAGCCGTGTTGTTCTCTCTGTACTCTGGGAAAGCTGCTTCATGTCCACATCAGCGTTTGCCAGATATCTGGGCCAGTGCATCATCAGCAACAATCCCAGCTGTCAGGATCTGTGCTGCTGACAAAACGTTCATATGCATTTATATGCGCCTTTCTTTTTCTGCAGGCTATAGGGCATTTTCCCCTAGATTTCTAACGGAAAAGACAATTCTGTGATAGTTTACTCGTTTCTTTGACAAAGTCGGATGTTTTAAAGAATTTCAAAGCTCTGTGTTTAAATATAATGAAGGCCAACTTCATTTTTCAGAGATCATCAACGTTTTATGTTTAGAAACAGCGCTGTAACAGCATATGCACGTTCTCTTAAAGGAGTAGTTCACTTTTAAAAAAAATATTTGCTGATAATTTTACTCACCCCCATGTCATCCAAGATGTCCATGTCTTTCTTTCTTCAGTCGAAAAGAAATTAAGGTTTTTGCTGAAAACATTCCAGGATTTTTCTCCATATAATGGACTTTAATGGGAACCAAACGGTTCAAGGTCCAAAAGACAGTTTCAGTGCAAACTGCAAACTGTTCAAAGGGCTTTAAACGATTCCAGATGATGAATAAGGGTCTTATCAAGCGAAACGATCGCTCATTTAATAAATAAATAACAAAGTTTAAGTTTTATAAGCTCAAATACTCACCTTGCTCTGTTCTGTGACGCACGTTTGTGACTCTCCTGTTCAAACTTGTTCATCAAAATGAACAAATCTTTTTCCGAGTCAATTCGTTCGTTGAATGAACCAAATGACTCGGAAAAAGATTCGACTAGGAACTTTTCACAGGACCAACATTCTAAAACTACTTGCGTTCTTAAAAATAAAGCCTCCAAAAGGTGGGGTTTGCATTTGTTCTCTTAAAGGAGTAGTTCACTTTTAAAAAAAAAACGTTTGCTGATAATTTACTCACCCTCATGTCATCCAAGATGTCCATGTCTTTCTTTCTTTAGTCGAAAAGAAATTAAGGTTTTTGCTGAAAACATTCCAGGATTTTCTCCATATAATGGACTTTAATGGGAACCAAACGGTTCAAGGTTCAAAAGACAGTTTCAGTGCAAACTACAAACTGTTCAAAGGGCTTTAAACGATTCCAGATGATAAATAAGGGTCTCATCAAGCGAAACGATCGCTCATGTAATAAATAAATAACAAAGTTTAAGTTTTATAAGCTCAAATGCTCGCCTTGCTCTGTACTGTGATGCGCGTTTGTGACTCTCCTGTTTGAACTCGTTCATCAAAATGAACGAATCTTTTTCCGAGTCAATTCGTTTGTTGAATGAACCAAATGACTCGGAACTAGGAACTTTTCACGGGACCAAAATTCTAAAACTACTTCCGCTCTTAAAAATAAAGCCTCCAAAAGGTGGGGTTTGCATTGATTTCATAGAAGAACCATTCAGTGAACAGATCTATAACAGAACCATTTTACGGTCTAAAAACCTTTTTACAGTGTAAAGAACTTTTTTATGCGTGGACGTTAAAGTTTTTTTATGCAACCATCAATGCCTATGTAAATATCCTTGTCTTCCAGCGTGGAGCACGACTTCCGGCTTCAGGAGGGCCAGGTGACGCGAGCGTGGAAGGTTCCGGAGCAGCAGGAATCGGAGCAAAGCTCTCCGCAGCTGGTCTTTCCTCCTCCACGCCAGCAGGACTCTCCACAGGCCCTCCAGACGGTCAAGAAGAGCCGCAGGAAATGCTTCTGGTTCCTCTGAACACTTTACATGCAGGACGTGACATCATTAGTCAACAAGGATGGTTTTCCAACCAACCTCAAGCCTCTTCTCTTCCGGGTCCCGTTTAGAGGCACATCATCCGCTACATGCGTTCCTTGACGAGGAGCCCTTATTTATTATCTTTTTTTAAAGCATCTTCTGTAATTTTTTACAGAAGGCAAATTTTTTAATGTTGTGGGCTTAAAGGCTGCTTGCTTTGATATTTCAGATTTATAGTCCATGGAGAGAATTAAAAACTTTCCACCTAAAAAAAAAAACATCCTTTAAAAAAAGAAAAATCTGTCATTATTTCCTTTATAAGTGAATTACAGGTACACTCTCTTGCTGTGAATCATTTTTAGCCAAAGGCCTAACATCACTTTCTGCACCTTTGAAGTCTGTTTATTCTGCTTTCATTTTCCAGATTCATGGTGGTAATCGTAGTCTCAAACTCACGAGAGGGGGAGAAGGGGCTTTTAGTTGGTTCATGTACCCTTTGAGCCAGTATTTATTACCTGAACTTCACAACAGTCAGTGATTGATTCACAGTGACAGCAGGAGACAGGACGATAAGGACAGACGACATTAAAGAAAGAGAGACAGAATTACAGGTAAGAAATGGAAGCCAGTTACTGATTCATCATTTTGGAGCAATGAGGGTCAAAACACCAGCTTTTATACTATGAAAACGTTTCAACGAATCATTTATTCCACATGCTTAACGCTTTTATGTAGACGATCTAACAACTATACACGCACGGCGATATTAAGGCAGAGATAATGGGGGAGAAAGTGGATTTAAGAGGTGTGTCATTTCATTCTTTGTGAATGCCTAATTTCAGAATCCATTAAAAAGCTCTATAAAATATTTTACTACCTAAAAATGGTGTCGTGTGCTGTTTATTTGTCTTTTTCTCATGGAGTGTTCAATCACAGACGGCATATCTTTCATACATGATAAATACACTTGACTACTGAACAACAGGTGGGGAATTTATTTTCCACCCAGTCAAAGCTGCCAGAATATACTAATGGTGTGGAATAAAACTTAACAGCAAAATAATACTTTTTTTGTGGATGCACCGAACTATATATTTACTATACCTATACAAATAATGTAGGCTATTTTAATTTTGTGCCTGTAAACACATCCACACAGCTCTCCAGAATCTTGACTGCTGTGCTATTTCTATTAAAGCCTAGTTCACACTACATGATTTTAAGCCCAATTTGAGCCAGATTTGCAGATCGTTGAGCTCGCCGACAGGTCAGGGTGTTATCGCGTGCAAATTGCGAGGATTAGCGGGCGATAAACGCTCGCCAATCTGTTAGTATGAAAAAATCAGCAACGCATCAAAGACACTCGCAGATGCGTTGCCGAGAACAGAAAAATAGGCTATCTAGCATGCTAAATATCCAGGGGTGCGTTTCGCGAAAGCATCGTTAGCCAACTATGGTCGCAAGTTCCGTCGTTATCTGCATAGTTTAACGAGTCGGTGTTTCCCGCAACCATCGTTCCAACGGACATTCGCAAACAGCATCCCAAAGTTGTGAGGATTGAACGACAGCTCTCGACCTGTGGTTAGAGGCATCGTTTCTATATTGCATAACATTTGGAGGTAATAAATCCTTATCTTGAGCAAAATAAGCAACCTGACATTCAGTACAACCGGTGCCTTTTATTTAGAATGCATAAAAATGTAATTTACGTCTTTTAGTTTTTCAAAAGATTTAAAGTACCGTGTTTGAAGAGTGCGCATGTGCGAACGTGCTCTACTATGTAAGAACGAGCCAAATATTGAGTCTGGCAATAAAGCAGAACAATTAGAAATAGTCCTCAAATGACATGTTTGTAATTTATATAAAACAAATCTAGCGTTAATTGGTCAAGTCAAGTCACATTTATTTATATAGCGCTTTTCACAATACAGATTGTATCAAAGCAGCTTCACAGTGATAACATGAAAGTAGTACAACACAGATCAATGATATTGTTAAATATTAAATACTAAATAACCCAGACTAAGCAAGCCAAAAGCAATGCGACAGTGGCAAGGAACCAAAACTCCATCAGATTGGATGGAGAAAAAAACCTTGGGAGAACCCAGGCTCAGTCGGGGGCCAGCTCTCCTCTGGATTACATTCATATTGTTTATATATAAACATTAAATATAAATATTGTTTATATATAAAAATTGGATCTCAAACAGTTTCATTAAAAGTAGTTATTACTCCACCACGTGCAAAACCAACGTGGTTGAATAATTCTTCGCGACAGTGGGTTTCGGGAAACAGTCGAGACTAGTTGATTTTTCCAACGATGCATCGTACTATGGTAGTGAAACAGTGAACTACGTCGTTGTACGGAAACGTACCCCAGAGCTCCCAGACAGCAAACTGACATTGAATCAACGTGGAAACGACGTCTCTCATGACATCGAAACAACATTGATTTTGCTCATCAAATTAACGTTGAACCAACGTCAGACGCGGGATTCTTCAAAGCTAAATGATAATCGAAAATTGGTTTGCTTTCATAACGTTGAAACAACGTTGATTTCAAGTTGATTTTCCATTAGTTTTGAAAGAATGACGCGTCTGACGTTGGTTCAACGTTAATTTGATGAGCAAAACAATGTCAGATCAACGTTGTTTTGATGTCATGTTTCCACATTGATTCAATGTCAGATTGCTATCTGGGCTGTCACGACTCAACCTCACGTGATGTCATGAGCTTCAGCCAATCAGAGCAGGGCATGGGTTGAGGTCACGGGTAAATCTTTTTTTTTTTCTTTTTTTGCATTTTTTTTCTCAGAGCAAATCACCGCGCAAACAGTTTGCAGCACTAGTTTCTGTCTGACGTCCATATTCGCGTGTTGTGTTCTTCGTCTTCTTCACTGGGTATTGGCGCGCGGGCTGTTTCGCGTCATTTCCGGTTTGTTTTATCGTGTGATTTTTCGTGACAAAACGTGGTTTGTAGACAAGATAGAATCGTTGGGTGACAAAGATGTTGTTAACTCGTGTCCTGTTGCGGATCAATCACGCTATTTCGTGTGGTGTGAACAGCTCAACAACTTGAACGCTCCTGATTTCACTGAGAGCAAGTCATGTTGTGTGAACCGCACAGTTTTCGACGTTTTAAAATCACACTGTAAAAAAATATTGTTGGTTTAACTTAAAGTAAGTAACCTGGTTGCCTTAATTTTAAGTTGATTGAACTGGAAAAAGTGAGTTAATACAATGAAGGAGATTAATTTAATCATCAGAAACTCAAAATAATAAGTTATCTCAACTAAATAAATTATTATGAAGTTGATTTGACAAAAGAAAATATGTTGTGATAACAAATCTTGAAAATATTTTTTTTTACAGTGCATGTATCACTAAAATGAATGTTTAAAACCACTTAACTGTCACCGTCCCACAGGTGGGACGTTTGCCACTATATATTTTTAAAACAATAATATCTTAGTAAATACCTTAAATAATATTGACAAACTATATATCATTTGAAAGCTTACAATCTCTAGTTTCCATATTTGGTGACTGATTTTCAAAATATATTACAGAGAAGCCATAATTTATCAATATGCAACAAGAATATTTTCATACTCATAAGGCGTGTTCAGACCTTTATTTTAAAATAGCAGTAAACATGAAAAATCATGAAAAAATGGTAGAAACCTTAGTTTGTTTTCATGGCAAAAGTTCAAAAGATAGAATCCATTAAATTATTTTGGAAAAAAAGGTCTGAAAAGTTTGAAATATCAAGAAAAAAATAATAAACTCACCATTTGTGACGTGGCAGCTAGCTATGACTTACATGCGTGTTCTTTGTATGTGTTTCTTAGAGGTTCAATTCATTTCAAAATCTGCCAAACTTCCCATACTACTTCTGAATAGGATCTCTAGTTCAGAAATTGTATGAAAATTGTGAAAATAATGGTTCATATCACTCAAAACATGAATGGAAATGCAGACGCCCTTATATGGGCAGTAATGGAGTCTGGTTGTGCCCTAGTGAAAAAGTTTGGTACTGCGCTCAAACAAAATCTTACTGAAAGCTCATTTTTTGAGATATCAACCTAACATTTGAAACACAACTTGTTCAGATTTTTGGCTTTGATCTTTCTGCCATTTTAGAGTAGCCCAGGTTTTGAAAATATATATTTTATGTAAAATATGAATAATTAATATTTTTACATTGTACATTTCCATAAACTCAAACTTCTATAACTTTTTTTTCTGTTTCACTTTCTTAATTTATTTCACTTCTACAAAAATCTGCCAAATGTCTTCTTTAAAACAAGACCAATCATATGTCTATATTCCAAAGCATTCTTGAATTACAACCATTTAAGTTCGATTATTATGTGAATAAGCAACAATGCCTGAAATATACCTGAGTTTGTGTAAACTAATTTTATTCTTTACATTTACAGAACAGAATCAGATAAGTTGTTGGCTACACATAACTATGGTTCACTTATGCATTAATAAAAGTCACGTTCAAAGTAAATTAAACTGCAAAACAAACAAAAGAACAATTTCAAATGTTGGTCTTCATTCTGAACGTATATGTATAAGAGTGTAGCTAAATGACAGAAGTTCATGAAGGGACACATATGACACCAAATGTGCATTTAAATTGTCTTACATTTAATGAGCTGACTGACACTGCATTGTTTCCACAAGAGAGGGATATGCTGGTGTGTATGCACTTAGGTTCACTCTTATGCAATCAGTCCAATGTTCATCTGTCAGTTTTGTTCTAAATTTACATTTGATCACAGGGATATCAGAAAAGGCTGCTTCACAAAGGTAGATTCAAATAAAGCAGATGCTTTGAATGTTCTTGTAGACGCCTGAGTCTATCGCCTCCAGAGAGCTGGAAGTTATTAATCTTCAAAATAATATCCAGTTAAAATTTCAGCAACATCTCGTTGAAGAGTTCAGCTATCTTCTTTGAAATGTCATCAACGTCCATCTCCATAAAATGGTTGGCAATGAATACCCTGTACCAGAGTTAGCTATACGGCTAATTTACAATAACATCTGTGAAATGACCACAGTGTAAAACTTTTGGCACAGGCACATTTAAACTTGCAACTTTCTTCTCTTTTGAAGATTTTAAGTTTCTGCTTGAAAAAGAAGCTCTTGTGTTTGTCAGAGTCGCTCGATGGTGGAACACAGGTGAGCGCAGCCGACTTCACTCATCCACTCCAGCTAAATTCAGTTGAATACTGGCCTGAGGCTGAGGAAGACACTTCCACTGAACTCTACTTGCTTGTGAGATCCGCTGGGAGTTTGGAGTGGAAATGCTTCTGTCATGTCTCAAGCTAAAACATCTTAGAGTTTGACCTATAGCTGTATCCCAGCTGACAGGGGGCTTCCTCAAAACTTTAACCAACATTCTTGCATGGTTAGGAACAAACATTCTTCCAGTAATATTTATAGAATGTTTTCTCAAAGTTATTTGAGATTTAATAATTTTCTAAAAGCTTTTTTCCTAAACTTTTTTTAATGATATTGTTTCAGAATGTTCAGAGAACAACTTTCCCATAATAATGTTTGCAAAATTTATCCCTTAAAAGAACTCATCTCACCAAAATTACATATTTAAATGGTGATGCCTTAAAATAGCTTGAATGTAATTCTACACCCGTGCCTCCTTTAGTATACATGGTTCTATGTAACTAGCCCCACCTCCACTCACTCACACTTCTTCACGTCTTTTATGCGTGATTCAGATTACATGATTTTTTTTGTCTGTTACGATAGTCACTGTGTCAGATTACGCGATTCTGACTCCTAAAATCTTGTCGTGTCGTGGACAAGACACATGTCAGACTAACCGTTGCTTCCTGACCAGTCATCG